CTTGTGTTCCGTTTTGTTTGAATTCTGCCTAACAAACCTCTTTATGCTTCTAAAGAAAACATTATAAACAACCATTACTGGTATGGAGCAAATTTAGTTGTTGTTAAGTTCTGTTCATTGTAAATAGTGCATGAAAAACTGAAATTATTAGTTCCCATGTATAGGTCAGGAAATTGTGGTTCAGAATTTTATATGAAACTATTTTTGTACTATCAAATAACTAACAGGAAAGTGAAATGGCGGGGACCCAAGGTCAGCGCTTCTGGCACTGTGCTCTGTGCTGCAGGGGGGCCTGATGTCACACACCTGTAATCCCAGCAGCCCAAGAGGCTGAGGCTGGAGGATTACAAGTTCGATCCCAGCCTGGGCAATTTAGCATTGTAGGGGGCTCTGTCTTCAAACAAAAAGTTCAAAAGGAGGCTGCAGTACAGTGAAAAGCCCCAAGTTCAACCCAGATCTAAAAAACTTGTTGCACTAAATGAATGTGGAGAACAGCAGACTGAAGGAATAGACGTAGGGCCCCATGGCCTCTGTTTGGGCCTAGGAACTTAATTGCCTCCCATCCTGCCGCACCTGGAATTGTGACCTTTGGCTGTGGTGGACACTGGCTGACCTGTGGGACCAGAGCACAGGACACTGCCTCTGCAGAGCCAGCCGTCGATCACGCTGCAGACCAGTCCTTCGAGGCCAGGACGGGCTCAGGGAGTCCAGTGTCAAGGAAGAGCAACCTCTGCGCACAGTGTGGCTTCCCCAGCTCCCACGGAGCAGGGCTCTGGGACACAGGCAGGCCCTCGCCCAGTGGCCGTCGCCTTCCTGGGATGTGCACCCAGGACTTGGCTGATTGTAGTCGTCTCCGGTGAGGATGATCAGGGAAAAGGGGTTCATTCGCCTCACTGCACAAAACGGGTTCCCAGGTCCACAGAGAAGAGGGCAGCCTTGCATTTGCTGCTTCAGAAGCTCACTCAGCAGGACACGGGAACAGGTTTCTTCTTTTTTCTTTGGAGAGAAGTAAAGAAGTGAGATCCTGATTTAACAGAAAACAGAAAGAAAGGAAGGAAGAAAGAATGAACAAAAGAAAGAAAGAGAAAGAAGAAAAAAAGAAAGAAGAAAGAAAAAGAAAACAACAACCCCAACACACATGTGTGCATGACAGTGGAATCCAACCTCTGCCACAGAGGGGCCCCGAGGCTTCGCCTCAGAGCTGCTTTCTGCACAAGCTGGAGCACAAGATGGAGATGGGTGGGCATGGAGAAATTCCTCCCCACACTAACCCTTTTCTTCTGCAAAGATGCCTGCATGCTGGCTGTGCCCAGAGGCTGGAGAGAACATGCAGCCTTGGGTGCTGCTGCCCCCTACTTGGCAGGGAGACGGGGCACAGCCAGGGCTGGGAGGGAGCCACAGGGCCTCCTTCGGAGTCCGGACCTTGAGTCCCCCCTACCTGTTCCCCACCACCTCACTTCGTGACCAAAATTCCGACAGCAGTGGACTTTAGTTAGATTGGTGGGAATACATGGAACATTGAAACAGGCTGATCTAAGAAAATCTTTTTTTATTTAAAAAATCTTTTTTAACAAAACAATATTTGGTTGTACTTTGGTTTTATTTTTAAAATTAAAAAAAATTAAAAACAAAACAAGCACCCAGGTACAATTTGATGGCTGCAGCTCCGCCTGAGGGAAAGTCCCAGGGTTTTTAACCTCGACGCACCCCACTTGGCGGACCCTAAAATGCAACAGGGAAATGAAAGCAGGTTTCTTCAGCAGAGCGTAACTGTAAGTTGATGCAATAAGGCAGTGTTCTGGTCAACCCCAGAGGCTGTTTTTATAGGAACTGTAGTTGGCCCTGGGTCTCACCGGGAAGCAGTCCGAGGCTGGGACAGTTCCTCACAGGTGCCTTTGTCTCTGGGTGTCCTCAGGGCGAGATGCTGCCTCCCAGAGCTGCTGTGTGAAGACACCTTCCTAGACACGGGCCAGTAAGACCAAAAGCCATGGGTGACTTTGCAGATAATTGCCATTAAAACGATTGCTAAGTGACTAATGATGGGCCCGGGAGCCTGTGCCAGCTAATCACCACTGCGCCACAATGTCATGAATGTTGGCCTTCTGTGGGCACTGGGCACCTGTAGACAAGTCTCTGTGCTGTATTAAACCTGCGCTGACTGTGCCAGGTGTTAAGAATCTTGTGTCCCTGAATAAAATTCAGGCTACTTTTCCAGTTAGGAGGTGTGGGACACAAAAGGTTACCCCCGTGGGTGATAGAAAAACACTTCTGTGCGATGGGGAAAAGGCATTTGGAGTGGCCAGGTGGAAAGGAATAGTCCTCCCTGCTCAGTGGTCCAGATGCCTACAGTTTTCCCATGGTGCTTTTCTTACCATTTGTACTGTTACAGTCACACTTATAACAGGGCTGCTGTCACAGCCCCTCACATGCAGTGTGCTTTCTGGGGTAATGGGGTTCATTAGGCCTAATGAGAGGGTTCCCAGGCCAGGGAGTGGTAAAATATGGAATGACCAAGATCAAAATATTTTAAGACAATGGATATAAAATCTAATTATTGCAAAAGAAAATCCATGATACCCACTTTTTAAGACTCAGGTCTGAGAAAGTCAGTGGAGGGGTGGGGCCAGCAGAGCTCACCCAGACCCTGCCCTGCTGGGGACAGAGGGCGCCGTCCTTTCCCCGGCCCGGGGGTGGGAAGGGAATTGGGGGTGAGCTCCCTCAGGTTTCTGCTTTTTTCAACACAGGGGTCAGACTGTAGCTGAGCGAAGGATCCCAAAACCACTGTGGCCAGAGCCAGGCCACATCATCTGGAAGATGTGCAGGGAACTCCTGTGGGGTCTGAAAGTCTCAGAAATGATGCAAATGTACAACGCAAATGTTTGCAAAGCTGAAATTTTTTAAATGAAATTAAACACGACTTTGGGCAATTTATATATCCACTGGACATTTTGTGGAAAATAAAAGTGTCTAACACTGTCTTTAAGTAACTGAGCAATCCAAACATAAATTTTAAAATATAGATTTTAAAAATTTAGAATTAAAAAAAATATGTGAGACAATTCTGTGAAAAGATTTTAGAATCACTTGAAATCAATGTATTCTGAGCCTTCATTTTAAACACACTTGCTGCCTAAATCTTTATGTGACACATAAATACTAAAGAGAAGCAGTTTCATTTCCAAAATGTTGATCTCTCTCTCTTTCTCTTTCCCAAAAAACAAACACAAGCTAATTCAAATTAGGTGCTTATTACAGTGACAGAAAGACTGAGGCAAACATACTCCTGGACATAGTGACCCCACTGCCCATCCAGGACAACCAGGAGGACTTGGTCACATGAGAAACAGGTTTGAGTTCGCAGCGGTGGCAAACGTGGCCAGGATTGTCCATGACGTGGACAATTTCACTCACTAGCCAGCAACTCGCCACTTCCGGTCTTCCCACAACAGGAAGGAACAAAGCGCACAGAACGTCAGTCAGTGTAAGTGAATTGGTCCGGACAGACTTAGTAACTTGTGTTACAAACCCATTTGCATGTGGATATTATGGAAGTGTTATTTAAATCTCTGTGAGTCTCTCAGTTTTAGAAAGTAAAGGCTTCGGTTGTTAAGGGTGTTGATTGGCATTAATAAAACATCAGTAAAACTCCTGTTTAGTAAAGTCAGGGTCATACTATTCTAATTTCCTTTGGCTAGTGGCATCAGAAAATATGTCTTCATGGATTCAATATTGGTTTTCTTAGACCTGAGAAAATGCCAAGTGTGGCGACAGTTAAAACCTCGTGTTTTTCATCTTTGAGAAGGGGAACAGTAAGACATAAGTATGAAAATAATAAAGCACAGTTCCAAAAAACAGCCCTGAACATGAGCGCACAAGAGGTTTTGGCCATGAAGCTGTCCCATTGACACGGGGATGCACGGGGATGGCCCACCTCACCCACACTCATGGCGTGGCAGAGCCCTGAGAACCCCCTGGCACGGCAAAACCCACTGGCTTCCTTTATACTGGAACTGGTTTCCAGAGGCTTCTGGCTACTGCTTCCCCAGGGCAGAACAGCGCACAGGTCAATTTCCAGTTTTAATTTCTGAGATCATTCGAATCCACAAGAAGCTGGAGTTTGGGAAGCACAACTGAGACATAATTTCCAACAAAGGCAGCCTTGTTAGGAAACAAAGAACAGGGCCTGGAGCTGCCCTGAAGGGTTGCCCTTCACCCCATGTCCTGGCCAAGCCTTAGCTGAGCCCTTGTGTGCAGAGACCACACGTTCCTCTGTGAGGTGCTGTTCTCTGTCTCCAGCCAAGCTCAGAAACCAACTCGGGCTCAAAACAGTGTCTGTTGATTTGATGAAACTTGAAATTCTCTCTCAGATACAGAGAGCTATATATCACATATTTCATACTTCATTTTCTATAGATTTGGTAATATTTGTATTTATAATATATGCACATTAATAAGCTTTGAAGATTTTCTATAAATCAAAGAATGGTGTAATTAAGTCACAGCAAGTAAATCAGATCCCTAACAGCCTTAATAGATAGCACTTTATGTCAACTCCTCTTTATATCGCTGTGCATATTTTAGTTTTAGAATTCCTGCTAATCCAGTTTCTTTCTGGGAAGGGAACCATGAGAGTGTCCACTTAATAAGAGCCAACTGTATGTGTTAGGAGTGGATTTTCCCTTCCCCAACCCAGATCCCTGCGACCGCTGCACTCAGCTTTAGCTGAGGACACTGGCCTGAATGTCGTCAGCAGGCCAGACGCACGATCACATGGGTTTGGCAACTGACACGCTGTTTTACTTGTTTCAGCTAATTGATGAGTGCAGAGAATTGGGTGTTTGTTGACAGCATTTCATGCTCAGGGGTCAGGTTCACTGCAGCCCCTGGTCTGAATTAACCTGGTCTGAATTTGTGTCTGCTAACACAAAATCTTTTCACCTAACAAATCAAATTCATTAAAGCTTTAGATCATATTCACCAAGGCAATATTAAACTGTGTGTTACGTTGCTTCAATGTTGTTTATTATACAACTCAGGGATGGAAAAAATGGGGACAAATCCAAAGCACTGTTACATCTGTATCTGCAGGCTGGCACTGGCATTTCTTGTTGAAAATATTAGCAAAGAATAGGAAGAAGGCACAGAGGATGACCTAGGCCAGTGTGGCGAAGTCAGGGCTCCGCGCCATGGCTCTATGAGGTCGCCATCGCTGAACCAGGTGCTAGTTTTCTGGAAGAGCACACGCAGGTTCAATCAGTAACTGTGCATGCGATATACTCTGGCTAAGGAGTTAGCAAATCCACTGCAGCCTGACAGCCACATGCTCTGCAAGGAGATGAACAGGTCTGGAATCCCCTCTCGGTGATGCGCAGGCTTCTGTCGAGTGACCGCCCTCAGCACACCTTGCAGGAGCACATCTTAGCTATCCAGGAGTGATGCCTCGGCTCACCTAGAGAGAACACAGCGCCTGGGTTACACAGCGGGACGGACTGGGACAGCACAGAGCAGGTGGGGTGGGGCGGGGTGAGGAGGAAGTGGTGCGGCCGGCATTTCCACCTTTCTTCTATCCTGAAATAAAGCATGAGCGGAGCAAGCAACAGTCTTTTCTTACAAACCGGGCAAACACCTTGTGATTTTGTGTCAGGTTCAGTTATTTTTTAACTGCCAAGGAAGATGAATGTTTCTAACAAGATGAACTGGGTATGAAATTAATACATTTCCATGAATTTCAAGTAGTTTAATTGTTCTCAGAGAAACCCCAACTGCAGTGTCAGGTCAAGCCTTAGAAACTGGTTGAAATAGGGTTTGAGCTGTCGAATCAAAAAGCATGCAGTCCTCAGACTACTCGGATGGCTTCCTGGGGGCTAAAACCTGTGACTTCAGTTCGCTTTCCTGTTGAACTCTTCCACGCCTCGTTCTTCCCTGTGCCGTTTTTATATTAATGAAAAACCCTGATTTCTAACCCCCACTCCTGCTGGCAGAAGGTCACAAAGGTGATTCTTTGGCTTAAACTAATATTGCCTACTAAATGTGCACACGTGTGTGTGGGAATTAGTCCATGATGCTAATTCCTTTAAAAATTATTACATTGATGCTCAATTTTCCCTTTGGGCAAATTAATCAAAATGTTGATACTGTGAAATGCGGCCTGAAGGCAGTGCTCCCAGGTGCTTCTCAGGCGGCTCGGGTCCCCTCGCGCTCTGCACAGCCCTGACTGATGTGTGGTTTTCATGCCCACCTTTCCCCACCTTGGGCATCATCACCTGTGCTCACCAGGAACCCAGCCCCGAATCTGCCTTGCTGTGCGTTTCCTGGCTCCTGCTGTTGATTCATGAGCCAGAACACTAAAAGAAGCAAAGCCCACTTTGGCCTTTTGCAAAGCCTTCTCCGCAGAAAGCTGCACGAGATCCAGTTCTGTTCTTTGGATCCATGCAAATGTACTATTGATTGACAGTGATGCATGGGGACCTGCACACCAGATGTGCCACATGAAAGCCCCCGAAACGGTCTGCTATTGGCAGGCGCATCTGACGACCAGCTGCTTCGGAGTGACAGGGAAAGCCATGTGAGCGCATCCTTCTCTGGGCTTCACGCTCTCTCTCGCCGCTGTTTTCAGCTGAGGTTACTTGGAAGTCTCTGTGCCTGGTGAACTAGGAAGTAAAACTTTTCATTTTCCAAGAAATGAAATAAAACTTCAGATCTCACCAATACCTCACAGAAACGGTGGACACTGTACTCCCCATCATGGATGTGGAGCCGACAGCCAGGACCCTTCTTTTACAGATATTCTGGAGAATGAAGATTGACTACTGTTCGCTGTGCAGGTTACCTGAGTTACCTAGCCAAGGCTCAGCTGAACTACTTCTGTGACAATGTTTTTCAGGTTCAAAGGCAACTGGGCCTTAAGGAGCCCAAGAAAACTAGCTTAATGACCCTATAATCACAAAAAAGGAGCTGCTGGCCCATGCTGCTGGCTGTGTGCTTCTATTACTAGAGGTGGGAGTTACTCCCCGGGTTCCAGGGCCACGGAGCCAAGGGGTGAGTGGGTGTCCATCACAGAGGCTTCCTTCTGGGCTCACCTGTGAGTCTGAATGCTTTGCTATGAATTGCTCCAAAGAGGAGACAACCGAGTGCTACTTCCTGGCCTAGGGAGGACCTCCAGTTTCATGGGCTGGGGCAGAATACCAGGAGTGATCTGTGTGGAAGGAGCCCTGCCAGCCTTAATAGGCTTCAGGGCACCTGGGCACCAAGCATGGCCCCAAAGAGGGTCACAGCGGACACCTATGAGAGCAGAGGAACAGCTGCTCCAGTCCGAGGGATGGTGACCCACAGCAGCCTGCAGCCTCAGACTGCACTCTGATGACAGGGCATGTTGGGCTGGGGAGGGATGCCCAGAGTGTCCAACATGCACGGGGTGCAGTAACTCAACCAAGGCAGCGCCATTACTGTGTACACGCACATACGCACATGAATACATGCTCACGAACACATGCACACACACAGATACATACATATACATGCACACACATGAGCACATAAACGTGAACATTTACACACATGAACACACAACATATACATGCATGTGAACACATACAGAAATACAAACATGTGAATATACACATTCACACAAACAAACATACATATGCAGGAACACATACATGCATACACATATACATGCATATACAAACATACATACACACAAATACATGTGTATATGAACACATACATGCACACCAACACATTCATAGATACGCACATGAAAATGCATATATGCACACATACATGAATATATGCATGCATATGCACATGTGTACACACATGAACTCATGCCTACAATGAATAATACACACATGAACACACAAATACATGTATGCAAATATATGCACACATACATGTGAACACATGCATAAGAACACACATACAATTTTGATTTTATTAAAAACTATCAACCTTTAAAAAAATCAACTTCAACTTTTTCAAAAATTTCAATTCTCATGTTTCTGTGCTTCGATGTCCTTGATGTATGAATATGAAAATCAGGTGTCATTAGGAACTGAATGAAGTTCTAGGTGCTATATAAGATGACGGCTAGAGGATTTTGAAGAAAAGCCTTTGTTTGCAAAGAACTGTAGGAAGCAATGCTCTCAGCTGTGCTTGTATGGGAAAGCGGTCCTTCACTTTCTGTTCAAAGGACCGGCCTATTCCTTGGAAATGATGTAATAAATATATCAGTCACTTAGCACTGCAGAGATAAAGCCACGTAAGGTCAATATCCATTAGAGCTGGGAGACTGACCACCTCAACTTGGTAAGTGGGGCGTTTTTACACACATGCAAATGTTAACAGGATTCTATATGAGTGGTACCGCTCCAGTGGGAAGTGTACAAAGGATGCACTCAGATGTGCATGTGCCCTCCCCATATGATGACTCTTCAGTGAATACAACTACGAGTTTAGCTTCTGGAGCACCTCTGTAGTTCAAAGATGTCTCCTCAGATCTCACCCTAGACAATTCCCAAATCTGGTTTCCTTAACTAAGGTGGTTAACATGTTCCTGACAAGGTAACGAACCACCAGAGCAATGCACACCACCTCGGAACACTGACACTTGAGGGACAAGACAGTTTGAAGTTCAGTTTTGGACTCTGAGAAGTGGGCGGTCATATTTTCACAGTTCAGGGAAGTTCCCCTTGCTCACCAAAAGCAAAGCTTTCCTCTGGGCTCCATTCTGAGAAAGTTCCTTACCTCAATCCCACTTGAAGGAAATACGCTGTCATCAAAATCCTTCTTTCCAAACAAGCACCTCTTTCCGAGGTGTCTTAATTTCTTATCACAGAATTTTACTCACACAAGGAGCCATAAATAATTCATGCCATCGCCTCTTTGTTGTGTGTCCCCAAATGGCACCAAGCGAAAGGTGACAGCTGTGTCAGGACGGCACCCAGGGTCTGGCATGACAAGTGGCTAACAAGTTTCTTTCAGTCCCTCATACAGGAAGACAATGGCCCGAAGTGCGGAAAGAAGCCCAGAGACAAAATAAGACTGCTTTTTCTCTTTACCTAAGTGTTTGCTATGAGCTGATTTCCAACCCACAGCCCTGGTCATTTTCGAGGGCTGCCCAGCCCCCACGCCTCACACTCGCCTGGCCATTTACGCCTGGCCACGGATCAATATGAGCAATTCCTGGAGAAATACGATGTCTCCATGACAACCAAGCCACAAATTCTCAGTGGAAGGCAGTGAGACCAGGACTGAAGCCTCCAGAGGTTTGTAGGCCTATAAGGCAAGATGTCTCAGAATGCAGGGATGGACAGAGGAAGGGCCGAGTAATTCATCCTTTATTACCAGCATAATGACGGCTGGTGTACAGGCCAGCATTCACTCCTGGAGTCAAGATGCCTTATCGGCACCTATGTTTCCTGGTTAATCTTTCTTTTTGGGGGAGATCCCTTTGTGTGCAGCAGTCCCACAGGCTGCCCTCGGTTCCGTGCTGTGCCTGCGGAGGGAGGGGAGGTGTTGGCACAGAGCCGCTCTGCTCTTGTCAGAGGCAATGAACTCCGAGGCAGCAGACACTTGACTTGCCGATGTGACCGCCTGACAAAAGGGTTGATGCGGAACAGTTTATTAAGACATTGTAGGCACCCACGCAGGATGAGGTGATTTGAATCCAAACTAAATGAAATTTAAATAGAAATGTCATTGTAGACACTGAACAGGACCCTGTGCACCCTTCTGTTGTCCATGAGAGGAACCTACAGTTTTCTTTCGGCCATTAGGGCAGGGGTGGGTATATTTGCCCATAGCCTCCCCCATCACTGGCAAGCCCAGGCGTTTCTCTGGGCTGGGCAGAGGACGCTGGGTCTGGGCAGAGGCTGGGGGCAAGGCAGTGCTGTCTCTGGAGGAATCTGATGGTGGTGAGGGTGTCCCTTGTGCGAAGCTGTCACTGCTGGGCCTACGGAGTCCCGAGATGACTTCGGAGACCTGACATAGACTACAGGCCGCAGCTCCCACTGAAAATTAAATCTCAGCTGCTCTCCTTGGGGAAGGATCAGGGGACTGTTCGCAGCTGGCCCCTGTCAGGGAAGGCTGCAAGATTGGAAATCTCTTAACCAAGCTGACAGGCCGCAGGGAGAGTGAATCAAACATGGGAAACAGGGCGAGCACAGAAGCTGAGAGGGGCCGAGGGTGCCGGGGCCAGAGGAGCAGCAGCAGCAGCAGCTTCGCCCTCTGTAACAAGGGACTTCCTGGCACCTGGCGGCTCTGGTGGCCCCAGGAATGTCATTCACCACCTGCAAGACTTTCTGCTTTAGTCAGTCAGTCAGTCATCAGGGGTAGGCTGTTTTAAATCACACCAAAACACAGAAACAAAAATCCACACTCCAGCACGTTTGGCGGGACCTTTCCACAGATGAGGCAGGGCTGCGTGGCAGGAAGAGTAACTGTCTTGCTCAGCGTGACAACGGGCTGCTCTCCTGCTAAACCCCCTCACCTGGGGCGCCCTGCTTGCATCTGGAAAGGAGGTGGAATCCCAGCTGCCAGGCTGGTTCCCTCTGCCAGCCTCGGCCTCCCTGGGTGCGCTGGGCTCTCCTCAGGCTCCTGATTTGAAAGACTTAGAATGTCAACTTTCTCCAGTTCCCCGTCTTGCGTGTATTAACCAGTTCAGCCTAAAATGGATGATAATGAACTAACAGTGTCAGCTCCCCTCTCAGTCACCCGCCTTTGCACCTCCTCCGCCTGAATTCCTGATGAGAGAGAGAGATAACAGCCCTGCGAGGTGACCTCTGGGCTGACCATTAATTTGACAGTGCTGCTGCTAAGGGAACACAGCACTACAATGCCCCACTCCAGGACCCCAACGCAGTGTCAGATTTATCATTTCATACTTGACTATTTTTAAATGGCTTTCACCTGGACTTCCAGGGCCTTTCAGGACGGGTCTGCCAGGCACATCCTCCGAGTCCTGGAAGCTGGCCATCTCTGAGGCGCTGTCATGCTTGCCTGGGCTCGCTGTGGCTGTAAAAGTCAAGGGAGACAGAAGGAGAGGGGCAGAGATGAGGAGGCGGCAGCCAGCATCATGAAAGCACTTCTCTCAGTTCCAGGGATACTTCCAGGGACACACTATGTAAACACAAATAATAAATTGAAATAAAATGTATCCTCTAAGTATTTATTGGCAGACACATAATTAGTTGAAAAATCCATAGATGTGACTTTATCTTAGAAGAAAAATAAGTCCATGGCATCAGCTTAAAAGCTACAAAGTAACAAAGTGATGCCTTGCAAGTAGAAATCGTATTTTTAATGCATAAATCTAAAACAATAAAGTCAATTAACGGCCCTCATGCTCTGAGGACCCCAGGCGGCTGGGAGGCCCAGCTGCACGCTGGGAAGACCCTTGGCTGGGCGCTAATGAACACACTGGATGTGTTTCGGTTCTCTTTCATGGAATTAAAAATGATGATGCAAATACCACCCCCCAAAGCCTTTACAAATAAATCTTTAAGGATAGAAGGTGTACACTGAAAAGGAGTGCAGGGTTGAGATGGTAGGTCTTTCACTACCGGTCAGGAGTTCTTATTTCTTAGGCAGGAACATGGACCACAGACGGCGGCCAGCACAGGTGTGCAAACGCGTTTCCTCTGAACGCCCGCACCCAGAGCTCTAGGTGGAGAATGCATGGAGGGCCGTGTTCTCCCTGAGCAGCAGCCTGGCCCGCATGTCTGTGTGTATTTGACACACCCCATGCCGTGGGGCAGCAGTTGCCTGTCAGAAAAGCCGGGCACTGTCTTCACCAAGTAACTCAGCGGAAAAGGAAAACAAAGTGAGGCTCTAATCTCAGCCCACTCACCTGCCTGAAGCCATGTGCTTAAATAACACACACACACACACACACACACACACACACGTGTGCACACGTGAATATGGTGGCGTTCTGCATGTCATCAGTGCTGCATCAACACCATAGACCTCACTGACACACGCACATTGCATCTACCAGCCAGGCGTGTGTGACATGGCCTCTGTGTGGTGTCTCCGCCAGGACCAGCTGTGCGCGCCTGGGATCACTTCCTCAGCCTCCAGTAGAGGAGGAGAGGGCCAGAGCCTGCACCTCGCACTCTGGACAAGTGACACAAGTGCCCATGGGGTGGCTTGAGGTCACTGGCCACCCTCCTTAGTGCCCTAAGGTGGCCTGTGGAGCTCAGCAGTCACAGCGTGAGCCCACAGACGTGTGTCAGAGGAGACTGGGAGACAACGGTGGCCCAAGACCCCTCATTGCTCTCAGCCCCTCGGGACACAGGACTCTTCTCTGTGTTTCAGAACTTCGAGCAAGACTTAAACCACTGTGTCTTAAAACTTTTTGTTTGGAAACAAAATATGGGAATTGTATGAAATTCTTATTTAAAATAGATAAATGGGCTGTCTTCATTTCGCAGCTTTGTACTGTTTGAAGAACAGTACAGTAGATCCCATATGAGCTCCCTGAGGACCACGTGTCCTGCCTGTCCCAGCACCTGGCACAGCAATGCTGCTGCAGGGCGAGTACAGGAAGGACACGGAGCCACCAAGCTCGAGGTCCTCAGACCCCGAGGACTTGCCCTCTCGTCACCTCTGGGGAATCGGTTCGCGCTCCTGCTCTGACCCACAGGAGACCATGACGAGAGTTTGCCAAGGCTGATGTGGGTTTGGGGAGGCACAGCTGGGCTTGGTCATCAGGCATGGATCTGCCTTTAACTTTCCTCAGCTTAGGTCACACTGATGGGTTTTTGGGAAATGTTTTCAATGCAACAGTTAAATACATGAACACTGTAGAAAGCGATTACATTGGGCAAAATTTCCCAGCTTGCTTTGTGTTTCTCTGTCTACATCTTCCTTGTTACTTTTTTGAAGTACTTACACTGGTATTTACAGTAGGGAATGAATCCCAAAGCTACATCTTGTCCTAAAAGCCAGTGGAGTAGCTTCTGTGTTTATTAGGGAACGTGTGTCACATCTGTCACCCGGTCTATTGTCCTTCCATACTTTCACACATCCCTTCTTCCTTTCCTCAGTTCATCCCTCCAACAGATACTTATCGAGCAGCAAATGTCTGAAGAATCTGCTCTGAATCAGGGACCCCAAAAGGGAGAAAGGTATGGATAGAGGACCCAGGAACAATAAAATGCCAGTGACCATTTTCAGGGGATAGAGAGGCCCCCAGGTGAAATGACACCTGGAGCGCCCTGGAGAGTCAGACATGGGTTCCGCCCACTGTCTCCAGCAAACTCACATCTCAGGCACCAGGAAGCTACCCTGTATCTGCCTTGTAACTGAAAAGTGTGGTTTGTGTGAGCACGTGGCGAAGTGGAGGGATTCTTCTTAGATACTTTGCTGAAGTGAATTGTTAGCTTCCAAATCTGAAGTGGTGTCAGCTTTGCTCATTTTACTGGGCAGCCTGCTGAAGTGACTGTGGAGGCTGTGACTGCCCTCTGTTGACTGAACGGGGGGCTTCTGTGAGTTTAATTGCCGGCTTCTCCCTGCTGCTGGCTGCTGGTAGGGTAGGTGAATACTTGCAGTTGTTGTTGTGGCTGTTTCCTAGGAGGGCTCACCGTTAAAGCCTGACATGATGGGTGGCCAGGGCTGCTCTAATGAATCATTTCAGAAATGGTGACATCCACGAATATTGATCTGGTGCTCATTACGAGTAGAGCCCTTTGCCAGACAGGGAGGAGACAGAAAGGAGGGAGCCTCAATGTACCCTCAGAAGACTTGCGATTTAGTTGAAGCACGATGGCAGCAACTTGAGGGAGCCTGGAGGTGACATCCGGAGGGTGGCATGCTTCTTAGGGGACAGAGGACACTCTTCTGCTGTCGGCAGGTGGCGGGGAAACTGGAATGCATCTTGCACAGGAAGTGGGAAGCCTTCCTGTGGGAAGCACAGAAGTGGGTGGGATTTGCACTGCAGGAGCGGTGTGAGCACTGCACGCGGGCCCAGGCCTGTGCATTTGAGGTGCTGCCAGCTTGGCACGCATTTTCAATAAATTCTCCTAGCTTGTCTCTTTGAGCCTCGGCTGAATGGCTGCTAGATTCTTCTCAGCTGTACCAGTTAGCTATGGACAGGCCTTCCCTTGCCCTGGACAGTCAATACTTTGATCTTTATGGATGCTGGGCCCATTTGTCACGGTAAGTTGTCCTTTCACGATACATATTGACTTTTGTTTATCAATACCAAAGTCCATTTGTAGCCCATTGCTAAAGTTCCTGGATATTTTCAGGGGTTTTTGAAGGTGCATTTCAGATCTTGGCAGAGAGACATTTCTGACATCAGTGTAGTGCAGATGGTTGCCAGGCTCATCTTCAGCTTAAAGTCAACTGTTTGTTTCCTCTGTAAAGGGTTCTGAAATAGTCCATGTAGGGAGGTAGTAGGGGAGGTGTCGAGGTAGAGGCCAGCATGACACACATCTGCTGACTGTCCTACCATGGACATTTAGCTGTCATGCATGCAAGACACTGACAGCCAAAAGGCCAGTGTTCCAAGCAGCTCCGCAGCAGCTCAGGGGTGAGGCACAGAGGAGTGAGCCTGCTTTGCAGGCCTGTGTCTGCCCAGGGCACTTTCCTGGGTAATCCTAAGTAATTCTCCTAGATCCTACGGAAAGGAAGGGCCCGGCCAATGACTAAAGGACATCACAATTAATAGGCAATGCTTGGGAATGGGAATGCTTTAAGAGAAACCCCACAGACTGTATGAGGAAGATTCTGGAGAAGAAGTTATTGTAGCAAACATACTGTCAGGCTCATAAGTGATCTCCTCCTCTTCCTCTTTTTCTCCTCCTCCACTTCCTCCTCCGTTCTCTGCTGTGGCTTCAGTCATCTGGCAATAATCCCTCCTTCCTTTGGTCATTATTCCCAGAAGTGACATCTGCTGCTAAAGGCAGCAGAAACAAGCCAGTAAACAACTGTAGGAAACAGCTTCTCCCCTCAACAAGAGAACTGTCCTCAAGTAAAATCTCCACCCTGCCCACCAGCAGCAGATGACCTGCTGTACTCGGGCACCGTGGTCCAAATAGAACCTTTGCTGAACACCCGTGTCATCAGCAGTGTAATCAAATCTGCAGCTGCGAATGATAGGTCCCACACCATAAAATGAACGAGGTGAACAGGGGGTCCCACTGATCACCACACAGGCTTCTGGGAAGTTAGGAGAGTGTGTATGGGAAAATCATTAATAACAAGAGAGGACAGTGCGAAATGCTGGTCAACTGACGAATCAACCAGTGTGGTGGCAGATAAAGGCTTGCCTACTGATTAACCAAAGACATAAAGATAATTCACAAGTGACAGTGGTCAGGCCTACGGAATGGAAGACCTGGGTTCAGTTCTAGTCCCTCAACAAGGCGGCAAGAACCGATAACTTCCTGCCTGATACCTTGGGTAACCTCCCAGTCCAAAGGAGACACCAAGAAAGAAACTAAGAACTATCTTCCCAGAGGCTTGAAAGAAAGCAAAAATGGCATCAAATATAGGTGGAAGTAAATAATAATGTCATCATGGCAGGTCACCAAAATGCTGTGATGTATTTTAAGCAAGAGGGAGATGTCAAAGCGATAACACTGATTTGTAAACAAAGATGATCACATTGAACAGATCCCAATTCAGTTTGCAAAGTGGCTTCTCTCTGCACAGATGTCTTATCAGGAAAGCCTATCTGGCTAAGCGCTGTGTACATATTACCGGACTTTAGAGAGTATCTGCCGAGATAATCGACAGTAGGACCTCTTAATTATATTTGAATAGCAATCGCTACCTTCTGCATCAGACGCCTGGCTGATTTTGTCTTCAATGTGGACTGGACACTGGAAAAAGAAATCACGCAGGGGAACCAAAAATTAAATTAGGTATCCAAGCTTCTTTATAATGAAGCAATAACTTTTATGGACAACTTCAGCAGAAGGGTGAGCCCAGAGCACTTGTGTCTTTTTGCTGTCTTCCTGCAGTTCTAATCTGATCCAGAACCTGAGTTTCTGGGTGGTGTTTCT